TGTGTTATCCTGGTTTTCCCAGCTCCAGAAGGAAACTTTTATTGGACTCAATCGCCCCAGACAATCTGGTGACCAAAATGTATCCTCCTCAGCCCCTTTAGAAATGTCAATTTGCAGCTCACCGTCAGTGTTCCAGTTTTCTGTTATTGTGTAATAAACCTAATTTGCAGCAACAGGGATGGACCTAGAAATTATCGTGCTGAGTGAAGGAGGTCAGACAGAGAAAGACAAATATCATATGGTATTATTTATATGTGGAATCTAAAGAAATGATACAAATGAACTTATTTACAAAACAGAAACAGACTCACAGACTTAGAAAACAAATTTATGGTTACCAGAGGGGAAAGGTGGGGCAGGGCAGGGATAAATTAGGAGTTTGGGATTAACATATACACACCACTATATATAAAATAGATGATCAACAAGGATCTACTGTATAGCACAGGGAACTCTCCTCAATATTCTGTAATAAATTAAATGGGAAAAAAATCTGGAAAAAATCATCTATATGTCATATGTGTCACATATATCATATATATGTCATATATCATATACGTCATATATATGTCACATACCTCATAGATCATATATGTCATATATGAATATCATATATATGAATATCACTTTGCTGTACACCTGAAAATAACACACTGTAAATCAAATATACTCTGATATAAAATAAAAATTAAAAAAAGAAGTTCTGTTGAACAGTGGTTATCTATAACACAGTTTATAGTTCTCATTTTTTAAAAATATGGCTGTATGAAGATCATACCTGATTTTTAGAGAATGTTAGTAATTTGAAAAATTAATTACATTAAGAAAAGAATGAGTTAAAAAAATCAACCCTGGCTTAAAACAACTAGTTTGTTTTGCTCACAGTGTTGTGGGTCAGGAATATGAGAAGGGCTCAGCTGGGTGATTTGTCTCTGGTCCATGGCAGGTAGTGTATCTGTAGCTGGAGGATTTGCTTTCCAGAGGACCCCTTCACTTACATGCCTGGTTCTGGGGCTGGTGTGGCTTTCAGTTGATCCTGGCTCTGTTAGACCTCAGCTGGGTCCTTCTCTAGAGCACTTGCCCATGGTGTCTCCATTTGGCTTGGGCTTCTCATGCCGTGGAGGCTGGATTTGCAAAGGAAATATCCCAAGATCAAGTGCTCCAAGAGCCTAGGCCGAAGCTGTACGTCTTCTTAGCACCTAGCCTCAGAAGTTCCAGGACATCATTTCTACCACAATCTATTGGTCAAACAGGTCATTGATTTCAGCTCAGATTCAAGGGAAATGAACTGGACTTCACTTGTCCATGAGAGGAGTAGCCAAGAATGTGTAGCCATCTTTAATCTACCCATTTTCCTGCAGCTTGGACTCACAGACCAGGAAGGGACCCTGGAGATCTTCTAACCAAGCCAGCACCTCTCCCACTATACAGACGGGAAAACAAAGGGCTAGAAAGATGCGGGAGTTGCTC